TATATATACAGTATATACATATTTTTTTCTTCATTTCTTTGGTTCTTTGGTGACTTTTTTATATTTTTGGTTCACTGTAGTTGAAACTCAAATATAAGAATTATTGAATATTTATTTGAGTTTAAAAGAGACATATTGTGTAATTCTCAACAAGAAAGCTGCAACAATCATGTTGATGTGATTTCCTTGCAAATCCACAGACCACCTGCTGCTCAGCATTCAGAGAGGGCAAAAGCAAGGCAGCCTGTTTTCATCCTGAGATGAACTGCAGAACTCCTGAAGAAGTTCATTTTTATTTTAATAAAGGTTTGGACCAAAAAATTCATCTTCTATTCCTTATCAGTACTCGGGACAAGTCCAGGTGAAAACCCCAGCCATCCCACTCTCCTGGCCAGGGACAACCCAGCACCTCCCGAGGGACCCAAAGGTGTTCCCAGGCCAGAGACACACAGTCCCACCAGAGTCTTCTGGGTCTTCCTGAGGTCCACTTCCAAGTAGGACATGCCCATAAAAAAACGTTTAATTATAAAGCAGCATCTTTTACTTATCTTTTAAATTGCCCTGAACATAATTTAACAGAACTAGATTTTTCAGTTGGCCATGTATAACACTTATAAGATACATTTATGATGCTGCTTTATAATTAAACTTAATTGATATTAAAACGTTGTTTGCAATTTAAAATTGTAAAGGTATTAAATGTAAAAACTGACTTGAACAGTTATCAACTTTTTTTTTACTTTCTTTCAAAATACATACAAGTCCATAAACGTAAGAAATTACAGAAATTTTGAAAATCTTAACCTCTTTTATTTTTTTAAACAAACAGGAAAATCTTTATTGACTTCCGCTTTGACGTCACTACTGTAAGGAAAGATGGCGGCGGCGTCTCTGCGTGTTGCGGGTTTTTTTCTAGGCAAATGTGCAAACAGCTGCGCRAGTTCAAACCCTATCACTCTGCAGTTTAGCCGACAGGTAAAGGAATGTCATTTGACTTCTAAAATAGATATTCTGTCTCTTAATACGAACGTAAATTGGTTTAAATTAAGAAAATACAGACGCCCTTGAGATAGCGTTTTTCGCCATCCGAAATTAGCTTGACTAATCTTTTAATTTAACACCCGCCAACCTTAGAGTTTGCTTGAACACGACATCTTGTTGTTTTTAGTCTTATTTTATTTGATTGAGCTTTCAGCTACATTTCGGCTATGATTATGTGTTCGTCAAACATATTAATACAGTTCAAGAGGCAAATATTATGTTGCATCACGTCTGTTTCTGTTCGCGGTAGATATGCACGAGCTCTGCTCTCTGCGTGAAGAAACTGACAGTCGAACAACCGGAGGCCTTCACCGAGGAGTTCATTCAGAAGCAGATAGAAGAGTTTGAAATCGGCAAACGGCACCTGGCAAACATGATGGGAGAAGACCCAGAGACCTTCACTCAGGAAGACATAGATGTAAGTTCATTTACCTTTCAAAAACTTGGACTTTATTGTATGTGTACGTTTCTTAATCCCGTGTGTGTCCCACATGTGGCTGTATTAATATTTAAGCATTAACCAATTAATTATTGGTGAAGTTAATATTTTTAAATACCAATATTTAATTTGATTTCATAAGCAGCTATGAAATGAGCTCAGTAAAGAAACTGTCCTGTTTTAATTCTGCATAAAAGTAAAATTAGCCAACATTAAAATGAATTACTTGTATTTTCAAAGTATTTTTTATGTTAAAAATCGTCTTTGTTTTTAAAGGTACTCATTGCAAAGTGTGAAATCAAACATAGYCATCTTGAATTTTACTGAGAGTTTACTCTTGGAGTTTTCCAGGTATATTGATTTGCATTTATAAAATGTGGTATGCACTCAGTGTGAACAAAGCACTTGGCAAAATCCATTAAAAACCACGTGGAAGCTTGAGWCCTGTGACTGACCTATATTTGGCTGGATCCCTGCCATTATCAAATATAATGGAACTGGACCAGTATGGAATTTCTGACATAAGGTTTGGTGGAAATGTTAGAGATAATTTTGCTAAATGCAAAAGAAAAGAGAAAGATTATGTTTGAYAACTATTAAGATTCTTTATTAGTTATAAAAACAGTGTGGTAGAGCGCTATACAGACAGATCTCTGCATTCAAACTAGGGCTGCAGCTAACGATTATTATAATAATTGATTAATCATTTAAATTTTTTTCAATTAATCGATGAATCGGAAAACAAAAAACAATAACATTTTTAATTTTGACCTCTTTACTCCAAAATAGGGCTGCCACAAACGATTATTTTAATAATCGATTAATCACCGATTATTTWTTCGATTAGTCGACTAATCAGATCATATGTTAATTGAATATAAAACATAGAGCTTATCACGTCAGAATGCAGCTGCTATTATATAACCATTGTTAGATTTTAGCTATATGCTAACTAAAATAGCAAGTTCTGCTCTGCAGATATTGCACAGGTTTCTCTTTCATTTTCTTAAAAAGTTCCCACACTTTGAGCTCCGTTGTCAGGTAGCCATGATACCAGAGCCTGTCTGTATAATGTCTTGTGACGTCCACGGCCTACCCCAGTTACCACTACTGTGCATGTGTGTCAAGGACAGAAAGGCAGATGTGGCAGTGGAAGGTGTCAAAGCAGTTTGGAGAGAAAAACAAAGTAAAGAACAACAACAACAAAAAAAAGAAAACGATTAATCGATTATTAAATTAGTCATCGATTATTTTAATAATCGATTAGTCGTCGATTAATCGTGGCAGCCCTACTCCAAAATAGAAAATTTGCACTGACATACCAAACCACACACAAAAAAACAGTTTGTCGTTTGAAAATTGTTGCTATGATATTAAATTGTTRTACATAAATAAGTAAATATTGTCAAATAGCTTCAGTAATAAACCTGTGCATGATGGGGCATTAGAAAGATTCTGCTGGTCTGCAGGCTCTAATGTTTGCTAAATTTGAACTTATGTTTATGAATATTAGTGTTTATATTTAAATGTGTTTTTCACAGTTAAAAAATTATTTTTTCTACTCGGATTTTAGGATTTTTTTTAAGGTCTGCTGTGTTGATACAGTAGATCAAGAGTAAAAAAAATAACTTGAGGTTATGCTGAACAAAATGGCACCAATCATGGCAGATTAAACCATTTTAGGGTGAAATATAAAGGTAAAATCAATATATTGTATGTTTTTATTGCAATACTGTGCRGAGAAGACATTTAATGGCAGAAGTTGGTTTCACATTTAGTCACCAAATTGGTGATCATCTTCATCAGCAGCAATAGGCAGGTGTGTCCACCTCTGGCTAATCCACTGCATCATTGATATTAGTAACACCCTCAAACACGCACCTCATTTGGGGTTTTTGGCTAAGTTTCAGGCTGCCCCGCTCCAAGCATTTAGCTTGATTTCCCACTCGTCCGTCGCTCCCCTTCCCTCGTGGCCCCTCACGAATAATGAAGAGAGCTGTTAGCATCAGGCTGTGAAAACCAAAGCGACGGCTAGCAGGCCAGTCTTGGCTGTTGGGAGGCAAAGGGAAAAATCGGAGAAGACTGGAAAGCTGCAAGTGCTCTTGATAAATCCCTGTGCTCTGCTTTGGAGTCCAGACTCCTCAGGTGTGACGGTAATAAAGACAAAAAGATGTTTGCAGCCCGTAGGGAGAAAATAAACAGACACACAAATACCTAAAGCTTAGAAATCAAATCTGTGGAAACAGTCAGGACCTTTGTTACCTGTTAGGCTTTTAAATTATATTTGAAAATGCATTTTATGGGTCTTGTTGTTGCATCTTCTTCTTCTGCACTACATTGCTTAGTGTTTATGTTAGCTTACCGTTGGTAAGGGACAGATTGACTGAATGCATCGTGGATTCTCGGCTAAGCAGATTTGTTTCCACCATTTGCTGGAGGACTTGTTGTAGCTGACATTGCCTCAGTCCGAATTTGGCTGTATTTCAACTGATTAAACAAGTTTGTAGTGTTAGCATTAGCTACTCTGTGTAACTTTCCATCATTTTTGTTGTTATGAGCTCACATGCTTGCAGGTGATATTGTGAGTGTGTTACACACAAAAATACGTCATCTCATCAGGGATGTCCCGATCAGATACTCAGTATCGGTATCACTGGCAGATTTTAGGGCTGCTCGATTATTTCAAAAATGATAATCACGATTATTTTTGATTGAAATTGAGATCTAGATTATTTAACAAAATTATTCATTCATGTTGATAACACAAATTTATTGAACATAAACAATGGCTGTTAAACAATGTTTCCCTTAGGATTTCAAATATTTTTGAAAATATTAGACAAAGTTTCACTTTGTGGGAGAAGCCTGCAGCACACTGCTGGCAGTTGCACTGGATTCACAACACAAAACAGCGTAATATAGGGCCCTATACAACCTGTTTTACTTTTTTCAAATTTTGTTTTTTCCATTTTTATTTTTCTAAATTCCACTTTTCCCCCTAAATTTCACATTTTCATTGTAACCTTATTAATTAAACTAAACAGTGTGTAATTAAAAAGTGACTGAACAGTAATTAAACAAATAACCACAGAAATATAAAAAAAGTCTGTTATTTTACTTTCACTACTAAAAACTTCCACTTTTCCCCTAAATTCCACTTTTTCATTGTAACGTTATTTATTAAACTAAACAGTGTGTAATTAAAAAGTGACTGAACATTAATTAAACAAATAACCACAGAAATATAAAAAAAGTCTGTTATTTTACTTTCACTACTAAAAACAAATAGCTGTGGTCCAGCTTTAAATTATTTTTGTTTATTTACTAAGAAAAAAACGTGTAAAACAGAAGTTATCTTTTGTAAAATAAAAATGTTTTAGAACTGAACTTAACATTAAATGTCATAAAGAAACATAAAACCTACAAACAACAAATGAATAGGATCTACGCTCATTTACTTAATGTAAGTTGACGCACACACGCACCGTTTACAGTGCTTTATCAAAAAATGGACAAAGCTTTTTCATTTTTACTAAAGGAATATCTGATTCTGCACAACAACAAAATCTTGGATAACCTCCCACCCCGACTCCCACCTCAGTGTTGAGGAGTTTTCAGCGTGTCTCTCACCTGCCCCTGTCTGTGACTCAGAGAGGAAGAGGTCTTCACAGCATCCAGCCCGTCATGTGCTGACAAAACTTACAGGAAAGCTTTTCTACAGATAAATAACCGCTGGGGTTTTGTTGTGTCCTAAACTTTACCCTAGCTTCATATTTTTGGAGGATGTTGCTTTTAGTGAGTTTGTTGTTCGCCGCGTGAGTCGCCGTTACGGCTTTATTTTCCTCCCCCTCCTCCTGTTTTGAGAGGGGAGCTCAGAGCTCACTATGTTCCTGTTACCAGGTAAGACCAGGTAAAGGGAGCAGCAGCGGTCAAAATACCTCAGACACTCGCCCAAATAAGCGTCCTCTGTGAGATTCTGTGTTTTACACTGGATTCCATGACTGGATTCCGTCCGCGTTTTTCGCATCACGGAAATTATACGGCCCGACGTAAACTGATCGATCATTATGTTTTTATGATCGCTGAAAACCTAAATCGTAATCAAGATCAAAATCCAAATTTAGTCATGTGATCGGGCCGATCCAGTTTTCAGCATCATCATGCTTTACAAATGCCGCTAAGAAGTCAAGACGCACACAAGTATGCAACCATGTCCACAGTGTGGGAACACTTTTCAATGGAAAACAATGATGCTGAAACTGCATCTTGCAAAATCTGCAAACTGAATGTTTCTGGTGGTCGGAACAGCCGGGCTCGCTTTAGTACTACCAACCTTGTCACTTGGAAATAAATAAATAAAGCTATCAGATCGGTATCAGAAAGACTAATCATTAAAAAAATTGGACTGTATCGGGAGCCAAAAAATCTGGATCGGGACATCCCTACATCTCATCATGCAGCACTAATTGCAGTTATTGCAAAGTGCCAAATATTAATCGGTGACGGTTTTTCTGCTTATTATTTGCACAGGATGCAATTTTGCCCAACCCTAAAGGTGTGTTTTAACTAAACTGTCCCTCAAAATAAGCAGTCTGCTCTGAGGTGACCCATGATGGGATCACTCATAACATCAAATCAAACCTGATTACAGAAACATATAACTATGTGTTTGGTTATTAGAAATGGTCTAGGCATCTCAAATACAAATATGTATATGTGACGTGCATTTAAAAATCAATACCACACCGGGGAGAACCAAGACACTTTGGAGAGACTGTTTCTTTTGGCAAGCCTAGGAATGTTTTTGGATTCCTACCAGAAGAGCAGAAAGAGGTGGGCTCCCTGCTCGAGCTGCAGTCCTGCAGCCCGGATGAAGCTATTTCACATATTGGTTGTTAAACAACATGAAACTCTTGTTCTTTGGTGATGGGTGTTATCCTTACCCCCAATTTACACTACTTGAGTTCCCGCTCCACTCCGCTCCGGTCCAACCTCCGCAGCAAAGACCCACCCATTATAACCAATGAGAGTGTTTACACTGGCTGTGCAAGGCGGCGGTGAGCGGACGGCGATCCATCAAAATTAAAACAGATCCTATTTTTGCCGGACTCCGGAGCTGCGCCGGAGTCAATTTTTAAAGATTACGTCGCACCAACAGGAAAAGAAACGAGCACAACATCCGTATTTTCAAAATAAGACACTTTTAGGCTGGATAATTTGTCGGAATAATGTCGAAATTGCAGCTATATTAATAAATATACGGATATATTTCTACACAAATGCTGTCAGTTCTGTTTGGGAAGCAGATGGAAACATGTAGCATGAAGCTATGTGAACACACACGATACACATGGATTTTATTTTGAAATCAGAAGTTTCAGAAAGACGACAGCGAGACAGTTTCAACATAGATATTAAAAGCCTTTATATTGTTGTTTTCAGCTGTGTTTGGAGTTCGTCTTTCACAGAATTAATAATTTTTTGCTGTGACTTCCACATTTATCACTGAATTTATCGCAATCTCCTTCCTGCACATCTGTCAGAGCGGAGCGGAGGTAGTGTAAACTGGACTTGAAACGCTCTGCTGCGACCTGCGCACCRCAGCGGAGCGGAGACGGAACACAAGTAATGTAAATTAGGGGTTAGATGTTTTTTCAGTCCAACTCATAGTGAATGACATGTCTTTAGATAACAGGCAGCTAAATTTGGTACATTTTATTTTTGTTCTTTGATCCTGCATAAGATGCCTGAAACTGCACAGATTTGCTAAATTTTTTTCAACATGTAAATCAGTGTTCAGAAATGTCAAAATGCTCCTGAAGCTGCATCAAAATGGAACAAATATAGCACATTGATAAGTTTTGGTGGGTTTTATTTATTTATTTATTGTTTGTTTGTTTGTTTGCTTAGTTTATTTTGACAACTTTATAATGTTTTAGTTGGAATTCCGGTGCTTCAGTTTGAAAGAGATCGTGCTCTTTACTTTAGTGCAAGCAAGACCCAGGAACCAAATATAGAATTAGACTTAAATGTTAAATGCAATAAATAAAGCCATACAATACCAACAGCTGAACCAAAATACAGACWGTTTATTCAGTCTTGGTTTTTGGTAAAGAATCAGAGAACACAGTTCCATATAAATACCTTTTTCCAGATCTGGTYCCACCTTAAAACAGGATGTCACATTGGTTGGGCAGACCTCACTATCAAGTGACCWGATCCTTAAACAGCAGACTGAGTTCTGATGAGAAAATAGTGTTGTATTTAGGTGTGTGGTAACTTGATTATATTGAGTAAAGTATATTCTGTTTGAGGTGACCRTGACATAAGCCACTCAAAGCAGATTGCACATCAAATAAATTACAGTTTACTATAAAAGTAGATAATTACGCAAAATATGTTGTCAAAACACATCCTAGTTCTCCGAGGAAAAACACTGTATAGTGCAATAAAAATCAGTAATAAACAGAATAAATTTCTTCAAGTTGATTACACAAACAATTTTTGGCAGCGACTTAGATTAAAAGTTTATGAGATGTATTAAAGCTGATCTTTTTTACATTATTTTTTCAAATCGTAGTGGTTCTTGGTTGTTGAAATTAAATCTTTAAGTGAGAATCAAGTTGTCTGCGTAAAATTTGCAAATGCTGCTTCGCATAAAATAATTCAACAGTCACAAAACTGATTAATAGTGATGAACCTCACCATTTTTTTTATTCATTTCATTTAAAAACAAAACAAATTCTATAAAAAACAAAAATTACAAATCACATGTAAAATGAAAACGAATTAAATGGCAGACTTCTGTTAATTTAGACAAACTTTAAACAAATTTGTTTCTTGTTTTTGTTACTTTTGTTTCTGCTAACAAAATTCTACCTGGTTTTGACGACTTTTAGTTTCAGCTTTACACAAATATAAAACTGGAGAAAATGCTTTGTCATATTTGCTGCAGTTTTTTAAGCTGTAAATATGTGCATTTTGGACACTGACAGTTGACAAACATTTGGTTAATTTGCACAAATTCAATCAGTATTACAGATGATCAAAGTTAGTTTTGGATATTTTAAGCCTTTTTAGTTAAATCCTCGATCGTTYTTGATGTTGCTGAGATTTTCTCTGCTCAGTTTTGCTGCTTTCTTCCTCTGTTGCTCCATGTCAGCCCCTCAGGGACGTCCCATATTGTCTCTGCTCTGTCTCTGGACAAACAGGTGTGTCCTCATCTGTTTTCCACTTTCCCCCGTGTTTTTTAAATTTACCCTTTAACTTCTCCTCACTCATCTTCCTCTTCTAGGCTCCTAAAGCTTCACATTTACTCCCCCCCCCCTCGAACGAGCTCTTTTTCTTCCCGCTTTCCGTCGTTTTGACAACCTTAAAGGCAGCAACCTGCTTCCTGCGAGCTGCACCTGCTGCCTCACTAATTGAGCCGACAGAAGAGGAAGAGAGGGATGAACAGGCTGTCAGGATGAGTGTGGTTGGAGCCAACACGCTCTACTCTCTCTCACACACACACTCATTCGTAGGGCCATCTGTAGCCCTGCTAACACACACACAGACACACACACGATGAAGGGGATGAACTCAAAGTGAACTGTTGGACGTCCGCGCAGAAAACTTGTCTTTTCCTGCTTCTTTTCTCCTCTAACGTCACACAAACACAAACGTCTCACTGGCCTTTCCCTGGAAGCAGCTCACACCTCCTCCACGTCGCTGTCATTGCCGTCCTTCGGTGTGACCCGCGTAGTTTGGACATGTCAGGAAATCTCAAACTGCCATCYCTGTTTATTTATTCTCAGTTTTTTTTTTCTTCTCTCGTTTCTCACCCACAGAAAAGCATCGCATACCTCTTCCCCTCTGGCCTGTTTAATAAAAACGCTCATCCAATCATGAAGGTGAGACTAATTCATACCTTAATTTATAACTTTTTTGATTACTAAGTTACTTGTGTTTCTGCTGCTCTCAAATTATTTAAGAATATGGTTAAAACTTTCAAATATAAGATGTATATCCCACTACCTTCCATGTCAGTGCTTTTATTTTATAATTTCAAACGTAATTTGTGTTTTGCTTTTATCCCCAGCATCCTGATGAAATTATTCCAAAGCAGAAAGGTACGTGTCCTGTACACCTGAACGTCTAGTTGTCTCTGAATGTGAAACCCGCAGCTGAGTTTTTGTTCTGTCCTCACACAGCTGTGCAGTGGGGAGAAGACAAGCGACCTTTCCACTTCCTGTTTTACACCGGCAAACAGTCCTACTACTTCCTCATGCATGTGAGTACAGCAGTCAGGTGAAMCTTCAGCCTTCACCTGCAGCTTTTTCCATTTTTTTCCCCCCTAAAAGCTTTAAAATAAAACGTCAGGATGGAAATTTTAAAGTAGAAACGTTCCAGTCAAGATCTGTTTTATCCTTARCTAAATTCACTTTAAAAGACGTAGCTGGCCTTTTTGAGATCAGATGCTTTGTTCTTCTATAGCACAACTGTTGATAACTTCTCATGTAATTAAAATTATTAATGTACATCTAAATATAGCTTTCAGTAAMGTATGATGGAGTATTAGGGCCATACAAGTTTATTTTTTATTTATTCATTTATTTTTTAATTACAAAAATAAAGTCTTAATATTACAATATTAAAGGGATCCCCGATTAGTTGTAACGTTAGACTTTATATGATAAACATATACTTTAACTGTAAAATAAAGAC